ATCTATCGATCAAGAAAATATTGGTATGGAAATAATGAACCAAAAGATGTAACGTGTGTTGAAGTTGTTCATGTTTGGCCAGGTGAAGACAATAGTCGAGCGGCTAGTGATGTTACACCAAGAAAATTTATGGAAATGGTTGTCTATGCTGGAAGGTTCGATTAAATTTTTTTTTTTTTATAAAAGAAAAATTTAATTTATTGTATTGTTATAGTTATCTATCAGCTCCAACAAAAATATTGACAGAGATGGTAGCAGATCAAGTAGCACCATCGTATTGGGTTCCAAATAAAGATGTTCATGTAAGAAGGTTTTTTTATGATATATAAGAAGATTAATTTATTTTATTTGTTTTAAAGGAATGTTCGTCGTGTAAACTTGTTTTTGGATCAGAGCATTCGAAACATCATTGTCGAGGTTTGTTCTATAAATTGATATCATTATTGCAAGAAATCATATCAATTCAAGTATACTGTAAAACCGTTCTATATGAGCAGTTCTTTGTATTGGACAGTCTATTGTCTGGCGTAATCGAGTTTCGTTAAGAATGAGCCAAAGTTAAAGAGAAGTAGGCGCAAACTCAATAACAGAAACAGCTAGCGATCGGCACTTTTAAGCAATCGGAAGAGCAAAATCGTGTTTTGAACTACAGATCTTAAACACTTGTCAAAATCAAAATTCTATCGAAATACAACACTATTTTCATGCATTATTTTTTCAAATGTTTTGCAAAGAGAATAGATTTTAAAATAATTTTGTCTTATGTGTATCATCATATCAAGAGATGTCCGGAGTAGTCCTTCTTTTTCTATTATTCAAAAGTGCAGGTCGTTACCTATTGCCATTATTGAGTTTACATTCATCCTTCTTAGAGAGAGGTTTTACTCTATCATAAAGATTAAATAACAATAGATCAATGTTAATTTTAGTTTTTTTTAAATCTTTGTTTAGCATGTGGTCATGTATTTTGTGATACATGTACAACAAGTCGTCGTATTGTTCCTTGGATTGATACTGAAAAACCTGTTCGTGTATGTGATAAATGTTATGCTAATCCACAATCACGTCCACCATCAGCAACACAAAATTCATCTTCATCATTGATAGAAAAAGATAAATCAGATAATCAAAAAACAAAACAAAATGGTTATGATGTTGGTAGTAGCGGAGATTCCGCAAGTACTGCATCATCCGGTGAGCATCTCAGCGATCTGTGTTTATCTCCATCTGATATTTTCGATATCGAGCACCCAGGAGCAGGTATGCAAGAATAAAAAGGGTTCATTTTGTCCTCCACTTGCTCGTTTATATTATTATTCCAATTTGTCTTGTTTTTCTTTTTCTTTATTTTAATGCTCCTATATGCATGCCGTTCCACCCTAAAAATAAAATATTCATTATTTATTTATTTTTGGAGTTTTTTTGTTTTGTGTTCTTTACAAAGGTCCAGTTTCAGTTGATATTCCTGCAAGTAGACGTGTTTATGAAACAGTTAAAAGTGGCCTTGAAAAAATCGGTGTCAATTATCCAATTGGTTAGTATTTGAAAGTTATTCTTGAGATAACAAACAAAAAAATGATTGTTTTTAATTTGTATAGAACTTATTAAAGAAAGTACTCGACCGAATTATTGGCGACCGGATCATGAATGCCGTCTTTGTTTTATTTGTAAACGTGCATTTAATAGTACAACAAATCGATTACATCATTGGTGTGTATTATTATTAATAAATAATTTTATTGATTTGTGCCTTTACTTTTGTAGTCGAAATTGTGGCGATGCTGTTTGTGAACAATGTTCACCAAAAAAACGTCCCGTACCAGAACGAGATTGGTTAACACCTGTACGTGTATGTAAATTTTGCGATGAATCAATGAATGAATCAACCAGTGGACATAAATAATCAGGAGTAAAAAAAAACAAACACTTGATTGTGTTAACTTTATATATTTTTTTCTACGTCTTTCGTTTTAAAAATATCATTTTCTATTTCGCTTTTTTGTATTGATATATGGAAAAAGAAAAATAACTTGAAACTTTTTTTTTCTTTTCTTTGTCTACCGACTCTTTGTTCCTTATTGCTTTTTTTTTTTATTATTATTGAATTCTATCTTTCTGGCTAAGAACATATGTATTCTTTTGTTTTTTCGTAATATGTTCGAATGTATATTGTTAACTTATTGTATTATTGTTAATAATTTTGCGAAGAAAAAAAAAATATGTAATTCAGTGTACGTGTTCGATAATTAGCTTCTTGTTTTTTTACATATAGAAGAAGAAAGAGCGAGTAAGTATGCATATTTATTATTTGATATGAGGCATATAATAGACTCGAATTAATCGAGGGTAACAAGTCTTTCTTTAATATTGTTTTTTTCACAACAAACATTCACTCACGTAAATAAATAGTATAAATTTTCTTCGTTTTATTCCTCATTTTATCAAAAATATTCTAATGGATAAAATGAATATTATTCAAACTAAACCAATTATTCATTTGTCAACATATACAATGGAAACATCAGATCGTTTTGATAATAATGATAAAATTAAAGATAATTTTGATGAAGATATTCATAAATATATTCATCGTATTTATCATTGTTCAAATCGATCACAAGCTATTATTCTACGTACAAATGCTTTGAAATTTATTGATCAATGGCGTTTGCAACATGTAAAACAACTTGATCAACGTGTTCGAACAGCTGGTCAATTAATTTTAAATGCATTTGATGAATATCAAAGTATTTTTTTTTTTCTATAATA